TAATAATTTCAATCTAGTTTGCACTCTCAATATCGACTTGGAATGGTCTATTGCCAGGATGCCGCTAAGGAGAAGGATAAGAAGGAGCTCAGGGAACAACGCGTGACGCTGCAGCTTGCCGGCAATCGACAAGCCTGCGAACGTTTCTGCGATGGGCTCAAGAAAGGGCTGCGAGCAAATGTCGGCATGGTGGCCAAGCTGAAGAAGGTCACGGCCGAATGCTACTCCGAATACCTCCTCCGACCGGAAGACAAGAAGAATGCGGCCCCTCCCGATGCTGGCCTGGGCATGCTCTTTAAATACCCCGGTGACCCCAAGAAGCTGCGCGACAGAGCGAAGATGAGGTTATGGGCCGAATATCTTAGGGACAACGGTCGGAACACGACCTTGATTCGCCAGCCTACGTTTCACAAACTCATCCGAGTAGGGTTGCCCAACAGGCTAAGAGGCGAGATGTGGGAGTTGACGTCCGGTTCTATCTACCTCCGGCTGGAGAGTCCAACTCTCTACGCCGACACCCTAGCCAAGTTTTCCGGCCAGGAGTCGTTGGCAATTGACGAGATCGAAAAAGATCTCAACCGCAGCTTGCCCGAGTATCCGGGCTTCCAGAGTGAGGAGGGTATTGGCCGCCTCCGCCGGGTTCTCACCGCCTACAGCTGGGTGAACGCCGACGTCGGCTACTGCCAGGCTATGAACATCGTCGTTGCCGCACTCCTCATTTACATGTCAGAGGCCCAGGCCTTCTTCCTTCTTTCGGCTTTGTGTGACCGCCTGGTACCCGGGTACTACTCGACAACCATGTACGGCACGCTGCTCGATCAAAAGGTGTTTGAATCTCTGGTGGAGAAGACGATGCCGATATTATGGGAGCATCTCGTCAAGAGTGATGTCCAGCTTTCCGTCGTCTCCCTTCCCTGGTTCTTATCACTTTACATCAACTCGATGCCGCTGGTGTTCGCATTTCGAGTGCTTGACGTTTTCTTCGTCGAGGGTCCCAAAGTATTATTCCAAGTCGGCCTGGCCATCCTCAGAATCAACGGGGAGGAGCTGTTGGACGCAACAGACGACGGCGCTTTCATCTCGGTGCTCAAGTCCTACTTTGCGCGCCTAGACGAGTCTGCGCACCCCAAGTCGGAGAACCCGAAACTCAGGGCCGTTACCAAATTTCAGGAGCTCATGGTCGTCGCGTTCAAGGAGTTTTCTGGCATCACTCACAGCAGCATTGCAGAACTTCGCCTGAAGAATAAGGATGCCGTCCTGAGCAATATCGAGAACTTCGCCAAGCGCACAGCCATCAGGAACCTTGGGCCGGATAGTAAACTGCTCAGCAACGATGAACTAGGCGCATTGTATGATCGGTTCTATACAGTTTTGTACGAGAGGCAACAGCGCGATCATATCATCAAGCAGGAACAGGCGAGGCGAAACAAAAACAGTCGGTCACGGATTGCGGAAGCTGCCAGCGAAGGTGATAGCGTCGAGAAAGGGCGCGTTGGTTTGGGCCCGAGCACTAGCCTCATGGACTATGACGCATTTCGCGAATTCCTTGCCGGCATGTGCAAGTGGGCCATCTCAGATGCGCCTTCGACACCCCAACGGGACGCATTTGCGGAAAAGGACAAGGGTTTCTATGGCAGCTTCAGACGGGCCGATACGATGTTGTCGCCGTGGGGAGCCGGCCCAGAGCCAGCGGAGCATGAATTCCTCCAGAGGTTGTTCCAAAAGTGGGATACCGACTCGTCCTCGGCCCTCACCCTGCAGAAAGTTGTGTCCGGCCTCGCAGGCATCAAGGGGAAGCGTGACATTATGGGGGCCATAAATTACTTTTTTGAACTCCACGACGATAACGGCGACGGCAAGGTTGACCGGGAAGGGATACTGCGCATGTCGGAAGCTTTACTTTTCCTCTCCCGTCGTGGACTGGAGGGCGCATTGAGCCCGTCCAATTCGAGCGTAGCGCTAGGCGGAGAGGGCGCGAATGGTACCCAGGGCGATGTCCAACCGGTGAGCGAACGATTCCTCGGCAGCGTCAGCGCGTTCATAAGGAGATGCTTTGAGTACGCCGATCCGGATCACCCGAAGAACCAAGATCATTCGGTGCGGGAAGTTCGAAAGAAATCCGAATCAACACTACTCGACGAGCCGGCGAGCGAAGAGCTAGCAAACCCCGACGCATTCGCCATTGGCGATGACGATGACGATGAGGAGGACGAGGATGATGAAGATGACCTCCTCGCGATGGACTCGCCAACTGGCAGCCCGAAAGCAGCAGCTAAGAAGTTCGGAAACTCGCCACCTACTCTCCAGCTCAACTCGACGGAATTGACCCCCGGCGCCGACGTCGACACACGCCGCCGCGTCTCCAAAGCTCAATCCGAAAAGGCCAACATTGCCCTCGACCCATCCAACCCCTTACACATCACCCTCCCCACCTTCCGCATGGTCGTCCTCGCCGACGAACTCCTCGAGCAATTCTTCGAAACCTCCTTCCCCGCCTCCTTCCACATCATCGAGGGCCTCACCACCACCCCCACAAGCGCGTCATCCCTAACCACCTTCTCCAGCCTCGGCATCGGCGCCGGCCGCGCCGTCAACGCGGCGCTCGGCACCGGACAGGGCGCGCCAGGAGGAGGGCCTGCGGGCGGCGCCGGCCGCGGCCTGCGCGGCGTGCTCGACAACATTGTCACGGACGGCATGCGCGTCGCGGCCGAGGTCCGCCGCCGCATGGAGGAGGCCCAGAAGGAGCTCGAGAAGAACGCCCTGCCGGAGTCGCAGCAGCAGCGGGGCGTTGGCGGTGATGATGAGGAGGAGGATGAGGATGAGGATGCCGGGTTTGATCGGGCGTCGACGAAGAGTGGGAAGGGGGGCGCCGCGTACAGAGGGGATGCGGAGCGTCGGAGTGTGAGGAGCTCAGATCGGGATCTGTTGACGGGGGCTGATGCGGAGGCGAGTGATGTCGCGTTGGCGGGGGTGGGGGATGGTGATGGTGGTGGGGAGGGGGGTGCGGGGAGAGGGGGCGGGTTCGTTCGAGTGCGAATACCGCTGGAGGAGGAGGAGGAGGGGGAAACAGGGAAGGGTTGTGGGGCGTTGAATTTGACGGGTAGAAACCGTAGCCCGTTGAAGGCCGGCACTGTTGGAGGTGGGTGTGGCCAGGGATGGGGGTGAAAGGAAGGCACGAGCGAATGCTACGATACTACTAACTCTTTTGGCTTATTTCGGCTGGACATTGACTCGGCCGTGTTGCTGAAATGTCGGCACAATCCTGGCGTCTGGAGGAATGGACTTGGAGTCAGGGAGTGGATGGGCGGGCGCTGCTTGTAAGTGAGTGGCCGCCCGAGTCGTCGGTTGAGTATGGTGGCTGCTATTAGTCTACTGGTGGTCTAGACTCAGATATACTCATACATTGTATCGTGGTCATGGGTGCCGTTCACGCCGATCTCGTACCCTCCGGGAGGTCAGGGGTTCTTCCGTGGGTCATGTCTCCGCGGGATTCCGCTGGGTGTCGCTTGGCATTCTCCACGAGCCTTTGGTCTGGTGTGCTTTGGAGTTTTTATGTCCCCTGGCACCCGCCGAGAACTAGCGGACGCCTCCCTATTGCATGTCGAGGCTAGAGTTGTCTAGACTGTCGAGTGAGACCTGTAGCGAGGAATGCTCGTCATATAAACCACATGTTCGCTTGACTATTCTCCTCCCCCCTATCATTACCGTTATGAGCATTCCACACTCCGCACTGGTGCTGTCTTAGATCACGCCAACACCATGAAGTTATCGTGAACCAACGCGACGGCGCCCTAGCCATAAAACTACTTGCTGATTGCATTGACCCCATCCGCTCTTCAAATACACTGCTCACCCCAGTGCCGCCATGGGGGCAACACCTGAACAGCACCCGGCAGCCTTGCTTGCGTGCAGCACCCTGCAGTCCGCTCCTTCGCCTTAGATCTTTTACCCTCCTTCATTGCTTAACCGGTCTTTTGACGTTGCCGTCGTCCTTCTCTTTACGTCAGTCAACATGCGACTTCGGGTCGGCCCCCCCTCCCGGCCGCTGTCGGTCTGCTGGGCGTCGCCGGTCGATGCTCAGGGTTTTCTGGGCTCGGTCGCGGCAGAGATTGCTGCTTGTGGATCGGATAATTTTGTTAATCTTGGTTGTTGTATGTTGATATTTTTTCATTCTTTCTTGTCTTCTTCTCATGCTCTCTCCCCTTTCTGTCTTCCCGTCCCCCCTTTTTTTTTTGGGCATTCCGCAGCTCAACTACCCTCTCCTTTTCACAACAAAACTGACCAAGAAAGCTAACTTTGTGGGACAGTCCCCAACTTCGTCATCAACGCCGGGCTCTTCTTCAACTTCAGCCCGCAAGGCCCCAACCCAACAGACCCCTCCCGCAGCTTTCCCGACTGGGACCCCGGCTCGACCATCAACAGCACCGTGACCCCCCTCAACTGCGCCCGCGTCTGCCGCGGCTACGGCTACAAGTTCGCGGCCCTCCGCGACAACACCTGCACCTGCGGCATTCAGCTGCCCACGGGCTACGAGCCGAGCGGCCCCGCCCTCTGCAACCGCCTCTGCAACGGAGACAACACCCAGACCTGTGGCGGCCTCCTAGACGCTCAGACCTTGGTCGACCCGACCTTTGCGGCGAACGAGCTCGTGCCCATCACCAACTCGAATCCGGGCCTTGCTGAGCACTATCGGCATCTGGGCTGCTACAATGCTCCCGACGGGTTCCCTACCCAGGATGTGAGAGCGTCGGCGTTGGTGGTGGATATCGATGTTTGTTTTAACTTGTGTGCTGGTCTCGGGTATCCGCTCGTCCACGGCTCCCCGGAAGCGTAAGGATTCCAGTTCTTAAGTGTGGACATTACTAGTGTACTGACGTGTGTCTGCAGTGGCCAGGTTCGCTGCCAATGCGGGGTCGGCATTCGGTCTTGGGGCCTTCCGTGTCCATGCTGAGCTGCTGTCCACACCGGGAGTGTGCAACACGACGTGTGATGCTGGTCCCGAAGTGAGTACTAGTCCTCCCACCTCCTTTGTCTACCTCATACATGCAACTAACCAACAGGATTGCGTCCAGCGTCTTCGGAGACTGCAGACATTACATTCCCAGCGCTGCTGTGGTCAGAACAACATCTACCCCGTGTACATCAACACAGAACTGCAAGGCTGCTACACCCCTTTAATCCCCGGTTTCAAGCGCCTGCTCACCGACCTCCTCTACGAGTGCAACGACATCCCCAACACTTTAACCGGTCCCCCAACGGTCCTTAACCAGCCGGACTACGACCCGGCCCTCATCATCCAGGCCGAGGCGGCGCTGATCCGGCGGCCGACCATGCCCGTGCCGGGGAGCCACAGTTTCTATTTGTATGGGTGCCTCGGGCTGGGGCCGCTCTGTATCGGTGGTATTTTCAATCCCCTGCTGTCATTGCTGCTGCCGCCTATTAGCCCTGCGACGCTGGACTCTTGTGCGGCTGAGTGTGATCGGAGGGGGTTTAGCGCTTTTGGCATGGTTAATGGCGTGTAAGCTGACGGATACTTTCGCGGGTTATACGAGATTCGTGCTGACAGTGTGCTAGGGACTGCCACTGCGCGCCTGGTCTGCTTCTCGGCATCACAATCGACCTCATGGGAACCTGCCGTGTGCCTTGTGGAGATGCCGACAACGTCGCATGCGGTGGTGTTACGAGCCCCATTGTGTATACTACTAATTCCGCTCTCGGCCTCTTCCCGCAGATAGCTGCTCGTCTGGCGTTGCCACTGCCGGAGTATGAGTGTGGCGCTACGTGTAAGTGTTGTCTTGTACAATTCTCATCTGCAAAAAGGGGGTTCGAGCGGGTGTGGGCCTCCTCTTGCTTTGGTTTATTTTGTTATATTTATGGTGTATCCTCGCTAACTCTGCGTAGCTACATTAACTACGACTCGGACGACTACAACGACAACCACTACGACTTCGACGTCCACATCGGTCACGACCACCAGCACTACTACCACTGGGACTAC